ATTTTCTTTGCTGTCAGTGTTCTCTCCAGAAGGTTGTTGTGGCACCGTTTCTTCAGATTCGTTACTCTCGCGACTCTGGCGTTTTTCCCTGGAATTGCCTGGTCTATTTCCATTCTCAGAGCTTTCCTTGTTTTCAGAGCTTGCTTTGGGTGGTACTTGCGGCGTCGTGTTTCCTGATTCTCCACTTCCTTTACTGGCGTTTTCGTCCTTCGAATCATGTGGTGTAGTTACTTCAGTATTAGGGTTTTCTTTGCTGTCAGTGTTCTCTCCAGAAGGTTGTTGTGGCACCGTTTCTTGAGATTCGTTACTCTCGCGACTCTGGCGTTCCTCCCTGGAGTTGCCAGGTCTATTTTCATTCTCAGAGCTTTCCTTGTTTTCAGAACTTGCTTTGGGTGGTACTTGCGGCGTTGTCTTTTCAGTGTCTTCACTCCCATTGTTTTTATTTTCTTCTTTTGAAGTATTCGGTGTGGTTATTTCGTTGTCCTGCGTTGTTTCTTGAGAATCATCTTTTTCATGACTCTGACTTCCTTCGTTAGTATTACGTGGTGTTGTAGTATCAGTTTCATCGCTTTCTCTACTTTGAGAACTTTCTTTTGTAGATTGTTGTGTTGTTGTTAATTCGTTCTCGCCATTTGCTTTATCGTCAGTTCCTTGAATCGGGTCGGACGTAACGGTTGGTTCTTCTTCTTGATTATTAGTTGTAGTATTTTCTTCTGGGACATCTATTCCTTTATTTTTGCAGGATAAGTTGTTATTTGGGTAGTTACACGTTAATGCCTTTTGATCCCATATAGTACCTGGCGAACATACAAAGTCATATTTTATATGACTATTAGGTCCCGTTTGAATGCATCTGTAATATTTTGTGCAATCATTTGGATTTGGAAAGAAACCAGGTGCAGTGCATTCTATTATTATTTCAGTATTTTGGTCGTTTTCTGAGGATTTCGTAGTTTTCACTTGTTGCGTAGTATGTTCAGATTGATCATTCTCATGACTTTGATTTGCTTCGCTAGAAGCTTGCGGTGTAACATCTCCAGATTCACCACTTGCTTCGTTTTCCGGTTTGTCTATAGTGCTTCGTGTCTCATCTGGTATTGTGGGTGTTGTCTGCACGATTTCTTTATCTGTAGTAATTGCCTGTGTTGTACCTTCCGTGTTTTCGCTATTGTCTTGCTTTGTTGTCGGTTTCGGTTTTTTAGTATGATGTTTTTCGTTACTCCTATCTTCTTTTGAGTGGTCTTTACGATCTTTGTCTTTTTTATGTGACTCATCTTTGTTGTGTTTTTCTTTATCCTGTTCTATATCCTTTTCATGCGAATTTTTAGAGTCTTTTTCTACAATTAAAGTTTTATTCAATATCTACTTTTATTTGTGCATTGTCTTTATGTTAAATAGTTTACCTAATACCTTTTTTATTATGATGTTTCTCGTTACTCCTATCTTCTTTTGAGTGGTCTTTACGGTCTTTGTCTTTTTTGTGTGACTCATCTTTGTTGTGTTTTTCTTTATCCTTTTCTTTATGCTTTTCATGCGAATTTTTAGAGTCTTTTTCTACAATTAAAGTTTTATTCAGTATCTACTTTTATTTGTGCATTGTCTTTATGTTAAATAGTTTACCTAATACCTTTTTTATTATGATGTTTCTCGTTACTCCTATCTTCTTTTGAGTGGTCTTTACGGTCTTTGTCTTTTTTGTGTGACTCATCTTTGTTGTGTTTTTCTTTATCCTTTTCTTTATGCTTTTCATGCGAATTTTTAGAGTCTTTTTCTACAATTAAAATTTTTATTCAATATCTACTTCTATTTGTGCATTGTCTTTATGTTAAATAGTTTACCTAATACCTTTTTTATTATGATGTTTCTCGTTACTCCTATCTTCTTTTGAGTGGTCTTTACGGTCTTTGTCTTTTTTGTGTGACTCATCTTTGTTGTGTTTTTCTTTATCCTGTTCTATATCCTTTTCATGCGAATTTTTAGAGTCTTTTTCTACAATTAAAATTTTTATTCAATATCTACTTCTATTTGTGCATTGTCTTTATGTTAAATAGTTTACCTAATACCTTTTTTATTATGATGTTTCTCGTTACTCCTATCTTCTTTTGAGTGGTCTTTACGGTCTTTGTCTTTTTTGTGTGACTCATCTTTGTTGTGTTTTTCTTTATCCTTTTCTTTATGCTTTTCATGCGAATTTTTAGAGTCTTTTTCTACAATTAAAATTTTTATTCAATATCTACTTCTATTTGTGCATTGTCTTTATGTTAAATAGTTTACCTAATACCTTTTTTATTATGATGTTTCTCGTTACTCCTATCTTCTTTTGAGTGGTCTTTACGGTCTTTGTCTTTTTTGTGTGACTCATCTTTGTTGTGTTTTTTTTTATCTTGTTCTTTATGCTTTTTATGCGAATTTTTAGAATCTTTTCCTGCAATTAAAATTTTTATTTAATTTCTACTTCTATTTGTGCATTGTCTTTATGTTAAATAGTTTACCTAATTTATTCCAGTTTGGTTTTTTGTCCCGTCACATTGGGTCACCTGTGTCTGCAATAATATATTATATTCGCTTACATTTTTTTTTATATTTGTATTAACGTATGATAGTAGTAATAAATTTGTTCTCGGTATTGCGAAATTTCTAAGTATTAATTTTAACCAATTGTCAATTATATTATTCCATATTTTATTATTATAATTTGTGTTTTATTATATTTTTCAAAATTTAATATTTTATAACAATATTGTTTCATATAATTACTGTTGTCGAACGTTAATACATATATGAAAGCAAATGTAAACGAATCCCAGCAAACAATTTGGTATCAAATTGTCGCCAAATTGATACCAAATATGACCAAAACTTGACCGCGAATCCAATGCCATCTACGTTCGCAATATGCTTGGGTTTTGTTAGCAAAGCTTGGTAACAAAATCTGACCCCAAATTGTCGCCAAATACCGAGAAAAGTTTGACGCCAAATTGCGCCGCACAAACCTTGGTCGGTATTTGGCGTCAATTTGGCGTTAGATTTCACCAAGCTTTGTTCGGTATTTGGCATTAAATTGACGTCAAACTGCGCCGCACAAACCTTGCTCGGTATTTGGCGCCAATTTGCTAACAACCTTTGATTTAGCAGATGTTGTGTCCAATTTGATGACATTTTGGTAGCAAAATTTGTAGTCAAGTGTTGGGAAAAATTTGCTCGAGCAGATTGGCTATCTGGGATATATTATTGCAGACGTAGATTACCTAATGTGGCGGGATAAAAGACCAAACTGGAATAAATCAGGTAAACTATTTAATTAATATATATATATATATATTTATTTATTTATTTATTTATAATTATTATATATATATATAATATATAAGTAAAATATATAATGTATTTTTGGTCAAAATAATATTTAATAATAATCAAGAACATGTCGTTTCTTTTCAGCACAAAGTTTCCTTAGTATTTATAGAGTGGATAAATGACACATTAACAGACTGGACTATATCGAATCGAATAGAAATATTTGAAACATTTGTCAAGTAATAGGCACGTAATAATATCTGTATCTATCTAGCTGATTTGATTTATTATTTTTTTTGCTTATTTTAATGTGGCCAGTTTCAATTACATTTCTAGGATACGCGCATGTCAACTTTTTGCGATTCCATATCGTTCCAGTATTGCACGAGAACGCATTCAACCTATATTATATTCCGGAACAGGTGGGAACGCATCCGTAATACTTCACTTTGTCCTCAGGGAATGCAGTACAAACCGTTCCTGTTGATACATTATTTCTTTCGAGGCGAAATTTCGAAGCGAAATACAGTAACGCGTATTTTACATCTGATATATCTTCCTCGATTTCCAACGTATTTTTCTCCTTCGAATATTCCTTATACGACATTTTGGATTTATTTGATTTTACTGTGCCATTCCGAGATTATTCTACAATTTTTTTTGAATGTTTGAACTCCGATACATTTGACATTTGCGACGTGTCAGTCTTATCATTCGATATCTTGGTCTCTCCTTGTTTCCTTATTAAGCTTGTTTTATCTAATATATCGCTGACAAGTCTATTACCTGAGTTTTGCCATGAAGAGCCGCCGCATTCCACTCTACCGCTTTTTTGAGGTTTCGTGCAGGTACCGTATAGATATGAGAACACTTTGCCTCGATCACACCTGTGAACGTATGTCTTCATTTGACGACCTTGATTTCTTTGTCTCACGCACTCATAATATAATCTACAATCGTAAGGATCGGGGTAGACGCCAGATTTTACACATTTAAACTTCTGGGTGGGATATTGTGGATTCCATCTTTGTTGATGATACATCATATCCGACTGTTGAAAATTCTCATTGTGTTCATATTTCTCTGTGAAACAGAAAATAAAATACACAGTGACCCAACGTACTTCGTCCTAATCGTCGTCGTTTTTCAGTGTACACTTTGACTCTTTTCTTCCGAGAGATGATAAAAAATGCATCAAATTCTTACCATCGCTGACGTCTTGAAGTTGATCACCAAGAGCGTCGTGAGAAAGAGCTAATGATACAATTAGAAGACTGGTGATTTTCCACATTTTATGAAAATCTGGTTTATCTGTAAATGTGAATATATATATATATATATATATATATATATATATATATATATATATA